CATAACTAGGTTGGTTCTAATGCATTTGAACTGTCAGCCAGTATGTGCAGAATGTTATCAGTTTTCATGTGTTACAGATAGCAGAGGTGGAAAAGTGGTTTTCGAATGGTGTTGAGCTACTACAAAGATTTTCCATTTGCTTCTGAGCCATTGCCCTCGTGCTGTCTCGGGACTGGGTTGGAAGGGAGGAGCTGCAATCTGCCAGGAGGGGCTCTCCACAAAGCTTCCTTTTGGATTTCCAGGGAAATCCAAAAATCCCTGAACCGGGCAAAGCGCTGCGATTCCCCCGGACCGAGAGCGCAGCAAACTCCGTCTCCCGCTTCCCAACCCCCAAAAGACTTTAAACGACTTCCCATTTTTTTCTTTCCTTACCCCGAAGTGGCTTTGGAAACACGGCAGGAATGCAAATAAACGTGTAAAAGTCAGTCTAATCGAGCATACGGTTCTCAGAACTTCATTACTCTTCGTTATCTGAAAAACTGCAAATAACAAGGGAAACGCCAGCAGGGCAGAGATGCATCGTCACATGGCAGACTTGCTGTTAGGAGGGATAGCTGTGAATGCTAACAGAGAGCCTAACAACCAAAATTCGGTGCTCGGGTTCAGCCTTCTGAATGGCCACTGTTTTTAGAAATTAATTCAATTGAAAAATCCTTATTCTCCATGTAAATGGACAACTTGTTTAAATTCAGAGGCAAAAAAACCTGGGGTTAAGTGTAAGACCCACAATTCGATTTGCATGTTGAGTAATTCAGACTGTAATAGAAGCTTTGTCATGTTAAGGTTAGGTCTTTCCTGTGGCTGTTCAAGTGGGCTCTAAAGACTTTTTAACGTGTTGCAGGATATTAAAGGGGGAAGGTTTGACCTACATCCATTTTTTTCAGACCCACTTCTGCAGGTTTCATCACACTCCCCGTGTCTCGCACGTGGGACATTGCTGAGGGCAGGATAGGTGCCCAATTGCCTACATACAATTTCATCAGGAAAGGTATATGATTTATTGCCCTGTAAAGGGTTTTGACATGAAGCCTGTGAAAAGCACTATATAAATGCCAATACAATATAAAACGTCACACAAATACTTTGCTCATTAATTCTGACCCTGTGCTTTTGTACTGGAGAGAAATGAGAGTGAAATATGAATGTGTTCCTTATGCTTTGAGGGGAAAAATGGGGCTGTGGATTTTATAAAGGCTGATGTGTTAACCTGCCTTTGTAGTTCCTTTACAGACAAGCAGCAAGAAGCCCACTCCTGCCTGGAAGGTACACTGTGAGTGAAAGCAGATAAAGCCCAAGTTTGTGATGACAGTCCTTGGTCATGACACAGCTTTCACCACACAGAGAGAGGATTTCATTTTTTTCATTTCAAAATTCCATTTATTTCAGCACTACCAGCTCTGAAAGCCTGTCTGCCATCATCCCATTACAATTTTGCTCCTTACAGTTTGTCATATTTTTAAACAGCTTTAAATATTTTTAGACATATCTTTAAACAGTTTAATATCCAAATCTTCCCAAGCCTTCATGGCCTGTTTCAGAACTTGGCTTCAGCCAAAGAAACTGGGCTTCCAGAGTGTTTTAGTGACTGGCTAGAGCAGAGCAGCCCCTGCTGTTCATCTTCTTTGCTTTGGCTAAAGGGGACAACAGCTCCTCAAAGTCCAGATCTCACCGGTGCCCAACTCCTTCCTTCTGGAAAATCACTGGGGAGGCCAGGGAGGAAGGGGAAGATTATGCGACATACTGAAAAATCCCCTTTCATCCTCTGCAGGGAGTTTCCAGCCTTGCCCAGTTCGGTTTGCAGAATGGGAGCCAGCCTGGCCCAGTGGGTGTCAATCTCAGAATTCCTCTGTCTGATCAGCTGAGGTTTTCTCTCATGTGCTGACACACCTTCATGGTGGGACTTCAGTTTTCTAAAATATTCATGCATCAGCTTTCACTATCACTGTGTACTGAGTAAAATGTGTTCCATTCCTTTATTTTGATTTTAGGTTGCTTTTCAAATTCCTTCCCCCTACTGTGTTTTGCTGCAATTTCAATTGTTTCTATTTTTGCTTTAAATAGGATGTTCACTTTCTGTTGATCTTTGCTGATGTTTTCCCTTTCAATTTGTAGTACTATTAATTCCCCTCTGTTCAATGTTTTGTCTACATTCAGAACATGTTTGTTTTTCTCTAGTGGCCCGTAATTACTTTCCCCCTCCTACCCTTTAATTTTTCCAATTACGTTCTCCACTGATGCTCCTTTAAGAAGTGCTGGGGGTAACCTCCTGAGGATATGAGGATATGACATTTTTGGCCAGAAAGTGCTTTTACTCTTGGAAAAGAGCTTGAGTTGGGGATATTGATTGCACCTCTCTTTGGCACAGGGGTAAATTACTTTTTTGGTTGCAGTTAGACAACATGTGAGTCCTGTTTCCTGTTCAGGGATGGTCTTACATCACCATCATCTAGAGGGACTGAAGACAGAGGCAAACAACCCTGCTGTGCACCTTAAAAGACACCTCCAGCTTTTGGGTTTGGGGATGCCTCTGTCCATTTCAGGTGAGGGATGGGGGAATGCAGCCAAATACCAAAGTAACACAGGAAATCTGCCAGGAAGGAAAAAATCAGGTTCAGTTCTCCGGTGTCCCCATTTACCACAGCGGCCTCCGCGCCGCGCTTTCAATCTTGCCTCTGGCCTGCTCATTTTCCTCTGTTTTTCTCTCAGTCTCAATGTTGTGGAAATCCAGGTCCTTCCTACAGGCAGAAACAAGACCAACTTCACAGCTGGCACCCTGCACCATTTTCCCTGGGCAGCATTTCCCGGGCAGCGCTGTGCAGGGCTGGCCGCTGAGCGGTCTCCCCGTCTGCGGATGCATTCCCCCTTGGCGTTTCCAGCGGCATTTCCACAGGCACAGCCTCGTCCCGCCCTGCAGCACGCCCCGAGCCAGCCCCTCAGCCCGCGCTCCCTCCAAACCCGTTTTTTTGGGAGGCTCTTCTCGCCCCTCCGCGGCGC